TTCAGAAGACATTTTCTTTAGGATCACAATAATGATAAGGCATTTCAGAAGACATTTTCTTTAGGATCATAATGATAGTTCTGTTTGGAAGCACTGAGAGGTCACCAAAATGTCACCGCTGACTGACCACTTCCAGTGCTCAGACACAACATCCACCCTTGCTCTGCTCTCTCTCCTCCTTTCTGGGCTGCAAAAAGGAACTCCATCAGCAATTGCATGGTCAAAGCAGCTGGAATCTCCCACACCAACAGGACTCAAAGCCAGGGATGTGGGTGTTTGCCCCCTCCCAGGGTCCAGGGACAGTCCCTGTGGTGGGACAGCATTCGGAGCTCTCAGAAATTCAGGGAAGGATTTTGTTTCTGTCAAAGCCACCCAGAGAGCTACACTGAAGGAAATAATTAGAACAAAAGAACATATCTGACATGTGAAGAGTGTGCACCAGGAGGACCATTGTGTGTCTTCCCAGAGATGCTCTAAAATGAGGATTTTACGAGCAGAATCCCATTCCCTCACAGCAATGTGCTTGGATCACTGCAATTGCCAGAGCTGGTGCAGAGACTGAGCCTGCTCCCACCACCAACACACCTCGTGCTCAGTAAATGTGGCCATGGGTAAGGATTATGGCTGCTCTGTTCTTTGTTTAATGAAAAAAATCCTTTATATGGACCATAACAGCTGCTTTATTTTTAATAACATTTCCCAGTGCTGGTGATGTGGAAAGAAGGGGAGAGATCATAAAACAGCTCAGCAGCCTACTTTTAAATCAGTATTATTCTATTATTACTCTGAGGTGATATTTAAGTATCAAGAAGTGCTTTACTAAGCAGGAAAAGTAAAAAGGGCTGGACCAAACTCAAATAATTTCCCACAACAGAAGTTTTAGAATTTGTACATTTTTTCCCCCCAAATTCAGGAAAAAAGGAATGATGCCCTAAATGGCAAAGGCATCTTACTGCTCAAATCACAGCCAGGTAGAAAAAAATACCAGAAGGTTGCATTATTTCAGTATTCTGCTTTTTTCTTTGACTAGAAAAGTACTGGAAGAAGGAAATAAGTACATAACCAAGAGTGGATGGTGCAGTTAGAAGATTTCCTAGTTTGGGTCCATGGAGGCACCTGGGACTGTTGGGAGTTCCCATGGCAACTTCAGCATGGACAATTATGGAGCAGCCACAATTATTCTGAATATATCTGGTGAGAAGGGAGTTTCATTTTGAGATGGCTACAAATAATGCCATTCCAGAGAGAAAATTCACAACTAAAGGTTAAAATCAACCGAAAAATAGTGACAGATTTTATCCTGCCTCCACTTCCTACAAGAGTATATTTTTATCTCTAAATATTAATAATGATGTATCATGTATAAATCACTGAGGACAGATTTGATCACACTGCTAAATGAGCAGATAATAGATTTGTGAGCTTTAGTGAGAGGTGAGATCCAGAAAATGCGTAGATTGAATACAGTTTGTTGTGTAGAAAATACTGCATTGCACCTCTGCATAATATCCCTCAATTTCTGTACACTGCACAGGCTCATAGAGATTATACCTAGAATATAATAAGAAAACTGCTTGCAACAAAATAGAAAAGGTAAAAAAAAGCACAATCCTCAATTCTATCTTTTCCAAATTTGGTCCCATTTGTTGGAGAGGATCCATTCTGGGCAAAGGTTGGGTGTTAATTTTTCAGCTGATTCAGATGTGGCAGAATGGGCCATGAGGAAACTTCATGACAAATAGTTTTTAGCATTCAGTTACAAGTATAAGTGAAGAAAAGGTTTGAATCTATTACTATTTACTTATTTATAATATTTATAATATTTTATAAAGTCTGTATTATTTATTATATTTGTATTATATTATTACTATATTTTATACTGTTTTATTGTAGATTTACATTGAATAAATTACTTAGGAATAAGTACCAGGAGGTCCAGTGAGCAAAGCAGCATTTCCATGAGATTTGTGTGGCTAAGAGCCACATTTCCAGAAGAAATCTGGGCTGTGAAAGTGATGTGCTAAGAAGGCTGTGATGGTACTGTGCAAATGGTTTGAGATCAATGAGCTTAAGGCCAAATCTTAAAGCTGCCTGAAATATGGATGCAGGCAGATATGCTTAAAATTCTGGTTTAAATGGGAGGTAGCTCTTAAGTGGTCTTGGAGGTCCTCCTGCCCACATTTCTAAACTTTACTTCAAAGGGCAAAGTCGATTTTCAGAACATCTTACAATTTTAAAGATCAGAAAGTGGTTTCAAAAATTCTACATTTATTGGCTCTCTGGCCTTTTGTAAGCTGAAAATAATCTTATTCTTCCTTAATATGAAACAATGAAATCCCAATCCTAAAGTTTCTGTGCTCTTGTGTAGCTTAGGTTTGTATAAAGCCCTTTACTCTGAAGGCCACCATTATTTATTTTAAGTATTAGATATAAGTAATGCAATATTTTTGTGGAAATTGTTGTCATTTTGTACTCAAAGTTAAATCAATGTAGCTTGGCTACCAATCACATGGTCACACATCAAAAAATAGACCAAGCACTGCAAGTGCAGACTGGACTGGGAAGAACTCTGGAGTTACTCCTTTCATAAACTGATAAATGGGAAGGTGGCACAGTGAGACCCTTTGGTCCATCTATATTTTTAATCTCCTGACAAATTCACTCCCCCAGGAAAGTGACAGTCAAGAACCTGTAATCTTCTTCCTGGGCTGATTTTAGAACAGTGGAAATATTTATTTAGATGATGTCATTAAGTCACAAATAGCAGCATTTTTCTCAGTGCTGTCTACTTGTTCCTTATTACAGGGCACCTAAAATAAGATGCCTGTGCAAGCCAGGGTATAAATGATAACAGAAATAAAGGAGAAGATGATCAGAGTCAGCACCACTTATGTGCCATACCAGAATAGCTAATAAGTGAAATACCACCATCCAGACATCTGTGCTGTGAATTTTCAGAAGCCCTCACAGTGATGCCCCTTGAAACCAAGGAAGAATATTCCATGGAGGGTTCTGCTTCCCTCTGCTCCTCCTCATCACGGTAAACTTTGAGATAGGGAAAGAGGGTGAAGCCAAACCCTTCAGCCATGTAACACCACATTACACCAGCCCTGGCCTTGTGATTCCAGGGTTTGTTCAGCTACCAATACTCTCATTTATCTCATTTATCTCATTAAGACTGTTCATGGTCCAGCTTGGGAAATTACAATTACTGGAGACACCGTGTGCCTGCTGAAGACCCATTCCCTTCCCTGGATTAATTCAGTCACTCAAACAGCACCAAGCAGACCAGCTCAGAACAGAGGGAGCCTCAAATGCACAGTGTTGAGGCTGAACTAATTAGACTTTGAGACAGACTAATTATTTCTGAGGCAGAGCAGCCCCTTGGTGAAGCTGCTGTCTCTGAGACTAGGTCCAGTAGTTTTACATGAATCCTCTCAGGATTTCTACTCCACTTCGTTGCAGGACATGGATAAACCCTGACTGTTCTTCCTGCAACCAAAGTATTTACAGCAGGATTAAGAATCAACCTCACAGACTGTAAATTCAATATGCAAACACACTGCATGTAATATCTGACATTTTTAAATGGACAGTTTTAGTGACTTGTCTCTGTGCTGTCTCTGACCTGAGAAAAACAGGTAAATTTTTATACCTATATCACCAATATATAAATATCCACCCAGTTTCAGACTCTGCAAAATGCACAGAAACATGGACAGAATTACTTTTGAAGCTATTCTTTCTAGGGAGGATAAAAACCAAAAATGATCTTGAATAGCAAATGACCTAGTGCAGCAAAATGAAATCACACTGGTCAGATCACGACTGTAAAGAAAGGAAAATGGAATGGAGCTCAAATACTTCTCAAATGTGTAACAAAAATCATAGTTCATGCTGCAGACATGGGAGCTGATCCAAATGGGTTCAGAAGAAATTGGTGCACCTTTTCTTTTTCCTTCTTGAAAGTTGAACATGTGCCGTTTTTCCTCACTTTCGTGGGTTAACCCATCTTTTATAATAACAATGGAGAATTCTGCCTGATGGTGAACATAGAAAATTCCCATTTCAGGTTGAAAGGAACAGGCAGGTTTGTTTATGCACAACAGGTACATTCATTATGTTTGGATAAACAGCTTGGCTAAGGTTGTGAACTGCAGACTGGAATATTTCCAGCTCCTGGCTGTGTGTGCAGCTGGGAGAGCAGGCAGGGCAGAGGAGCTGCACCAGCAAACCCCTCCCAGCCCAGGCCATACCTGTCCTGCTCCTGGCCTCAGTGGCCAGCAAATATTTTGTTGTAATTCTGGCTGTGGTTGTCAGAAGAGCAGAGTCTGATCATTAACAAAAAAACTCCTTTGTGTGGCACATGAGACCATCCTTGTGGCTACCAACTTCTCCAGCTGACACCACAGGAGGCAAGACACTGCAAAAATCATCACTTTTCTCTGGATTTTCTTATTTGTACATACCCAGCAATACCTCTGATCCCTAAAAACATCAACATCCTTCCCCACACTACAGAGATCAAAGTTTCACATAAAAACCTTCTGCAAAGACCTTAAAGCCCCAAAGTGTGAACATTGAAAGTATTTTCTTAAAACACCCCAAGTTACAGTGTGAAACATTCAAAGTATTAAAATACCATTGTTTCTGAGAATTTCTTTTGTCAAATAATGCACATATCAGTGACAGTGGCTGGCAGATTTTGCAGCAATTGTTAAAAGACATTGAAATTATTACATATATTTGACATAACATATTTTAAAATACCAACTTCTAAGTGTCATAGCAGAGAAGCTGAACTGTCAGGAAAATGATGCCATCTCTGAATTAAACCATTTGGTCCAATCTTCAAGAAAACCACAGACACACAGAGCTGTCACAGGGACAGAAATAGGAGCACTCTAGCATATGTATCATTTAACAGATTTTTTTTTTTCTGTAGTGGAGTGAAAAATAAATGCAGTATTTAGTTGCACACATCTGTGTTTAATCCTCACCTCAAACTTCTGTCGGAGCTCTGCATTTCCATCTTCATCAGCATCTGGAATTGGAACGTTGTAGTATTCACCCTCTTCTTGATTCAGCAGCTTGTACCTGTGGTAGATTTCAGAAAAAAATTGGTGACTTTATATTTTTTTTCTGATAGACTCAAAATCTGATTTTGTTGTTTGTGTGTGGTTTGTATCAATGCCACAGGTATGCAAAGAACTGATCTCAAAGACCTGAAGCAAACTCAGAAATAGAATATATTTTACCTGTAATCAGATCTTTCATCCCAAGCTATCTGTCAAGGCAGTTTAATGGACAAGGAGATTCTTCCCACTCATCCTGGGATCTGATGGGAAACAGCAACCCTGAGGAGGAACCTTTGTCTTCCATAGCCCTACACAAGTGTCATTGAAGAAATGTCCTTTTTGAGATGGGATGAGTTCTACCTCTCCTGGCAGGTAATGAGGTGGCATTTTACGAGATCAGTTTCCATGAGCTTTGAATTTGCAGAGCTATATATAACATGATACACCAAGTATTGAACACATCATATTGGAGATAAAAATAAAATTTGTATCACAAGACTGTGTCCACAGAATTGAGTTTGCAGCAGCTCCTGGCTCCAGCAGAAGTTTCAGGAACACCATAAAAGAAAAGGAATTGTTTTATTATCTCCCTTTGATATATATAGCCTGTGTTTCTTAGGTTTAGTTGCACTTCAGTGAATTTATAGCCTGAAACACAGCGAAAAGCTCAAAAAAAAAAGGGTAGATCACATTGAAAAAAAAGGACAGGTTTAAAACTTTTGGTGATGTATTCTCTCCTTCTCTTTTCAGAAACTCTTACCATCCACTGGCTGGCATTTTCATAAGCTCTGACACCCCAAAAGAGAGCGACCCCATGAAATCATTCCTGGTGGTTCGGTCCCAGTCCCAGACCTCTACGGATAACCGGCGATCTTTGTCTGTAGGTTTTAATTTACTAGAAAAGGAGAGAAATGGAGGAGTTGTCAACACCAAAATCAAGAGTAAAATGCATCCAAAGACCCCCAGGAAATCAGGGTACTAAACTCACAATGTGAATGACTCATTCCAGTCCGGGTTCAGGGTAGAACGGATGGTTTTTGTTTTTTGTTTACTTTCATTCTTAGGATCTGGGATGAGCTTCAGTTTGACATAAGGATCTGAAAGTCCATTTGGATCCATGGGAATGAGGTTTTTTGCTTCTCTCACTGTCAATATAAAACACAGGATTACACATCACTGTAAAAAAGAAATTACATGTCAGACCAGAGCTATTGAAGCACGTTGACAAATAAATAAGATGTGAAACCCACCTGTCAGACTTGGCATGGGAGAAACTACTTGTTGTAAAGAAAGGTTGTACTGAGTGATATTTATAAGAATAGCAGGGAGCAATGACAGGAGAGAAGAGTGATTCACAAGCAACACACAGCTTCCAGGCAGCTCTCCCTGCAGTGCAATGATTAAATACCCAAATCCATCACTGTAATTTTTCTAAGCAGGTACCAACTCTTTGTGCTTTTGTTCCCTCATCACTCTTAGGTTACACAACCACAGATTAGGAGGCAAATACTGTAAGAGGCACAGGCAGATCACAGGGGATTGCAGGGGATCAGGTGTTTGACACAAGCCCTCTTTGGAAGGTTTCTAGCAGCACCCTTCCCACGGATTCACGGCTCATTAGTTGTCAGATGGAATCCTTGGGAGCATTGTCATGACAGCAACCAAAGGAAAAGTGCAGGGAACACAAGTGGAGCTCCAGCTTCACAAAAATCCTAATGCAGCTTCCTACTTTGACAATGCCAAAGGGAGAAACAAAGTGAGTTAATTTATCTCAAGCTGTTCCTGATCCCCAGGGAGAGAGGGAACGCTCAGGAAGGTGGAAGGGAATCCCAAAGGGTGAGCACAGCCAGCACTGCCCTCCCTCTGGCAGACACTTGAGCAACACTTACACATCCTGGAAGAAGAATTCTGAAGAATAAAAGGTGAATTTCCCTCATGCTGTGAAACCCACCCAATCCCAGTGGATGAACTGGGATCAGGCTGGGATGGGGAATTTGGAGTTCACAGCTGGCCATCTCAAAACTTGGAGACAGCAACACCTGGGCTTGTTTGGGACAGAAAACAGCTTCCACCCAGGAATTCCCTTGGGACAGTCAGAGCTCAAGGTCAGAACTGTCTCTGAAGGAAGACTGCAAGAAGCTTTGGGGTGCCATGGCTCCTAAGGGAGGAAAGAAATCCAGCCTTTGAGAGCCACTGGAGAGATTGTCCAGGGCTGACACTGCCCTCAGCCACTGCTTTCATTCAGGAGGGCTTCTAAAATTTACCTAACTGAACAAATCTGAAGGGAAATTTAGGAAAGATCAACTGTTAAGCAACTTCTGTTTCTCGATGAAAAGTGTTTCCTACAGAAACTTGGAATTTAGAGCCACTTAAAAGTCAGTTAGAGCTAACACAAAAAAAAAAAAAAGAAAAAAAAAAGTGTCAGGATCTTCAGCAACAAGTATTTATTGTTTGCTCAAGACATTGGCCTCCTTTTCCCCCAGATTTAAATGGCATTTTCATTACAACCCCAAAATTCAAGACCTTCCCAGGATTTCAGTCTGTTGCTTCCCAGCACGGATGTTAAAAGGCATCCAACCAACAGAGATATTGTTTTATATATAGAATAAGAGGAGTACAGGAATGTGAGCTACTGCTTTGGAAGACTCTACTTTGTCAAGGTAATTTTTATGCAGAACAGATACTCTGATGTAAATTAATTAATGAAATTAGATCATGGCTGGAAACGAATCACATTAACTTGACCCAACAGTTGATAGTGATTAAGTTTCTTAAATTTCTTGTTTTAAAAGGAGAGACAGAAAATGCTTATGGGCTAAAATTTTAGAATAAAGTATAATTCTATTCACGATGTGCATTCCTCAAGGAATTATATCAGGAAAATAATCAATGTGTATTAAAAGAAAAGAACAGAGCCATACATTTTTTCGTGCAGACCATTTCATTTGTACTTTTCTACAATCCACGTGTAAAGCTGACAGGGTTTTGCAGCTGGGCAAATGATTCCTTTCAGGCCAGAGAAACTGTCCCCACTCTCATTTTCTCTAAGTTTGCCCTCTGGGGGTCTTCACTCTTCACACCTGTGGTCAGCTGGAAAAACATTTCTTTTCAACCCATGCAAAAAAACCAAAACACCCAATTTTTAAGATTTAGTGCACTGAGAAGAATCTTCAAATACTTCCAAGGAATAACATTGAGATGAAATTACTTATTTTAGCTAAGTTTTTACAGTCCCAAAGGGACTAAGAACCATGAAGCAAGTGAAGGATGAAGTGACAGCTTTCAGAGCAAGCTGCTTTCTCTCATCCTATATTTGGGTTGATTATTGCTTTCTTGGTGGGTTTTTTTTTCCAGTCTTCTTCTGCATGGTTTTTGTGACTGCATTGCCAGCTTTGGCACAGGAGATACTACTTCAAAATCCACTTTTTGATTTTTATTTCTACTCTGCACTTTGCCATACATGAGGAGCAGAACTCCACGTGTTCTACAGCTTCCTAAAAATACACTAGTAACTTTTCTGCTAAAATTCTCGGAACAAAATTGCTTAATTTTACCATCTCCAGGCTGAGCTTTTATGTTTAAATTTCCCCTGCAGAGGCCCAGTGTGAAACAGGCAGGATTTGGAGTGATGGGCTGGGTGGATGTGGAGGCTGTGGACAAAGCCACCCCTGCCTAGCCCTGGTAAAAGCTGCAAATCAGCTCTGGCAGCAGGAGGACATGGCAGCATGTGTCAAATTGCTGATTTCTCCTGCAGCAAACACAGAAAATAGAAAAAAAAAAAAGCCAAAAAGTCTAAATGCAAGAAAGAGAAGCTCAAAGATTAATTGGGAAGGAAAAATGCAACATGTACCAAAACCAGGCTGCTAACAAAGTCATTATCTCACTCCGTGGTTTAAGATATCTGGCCCATTTGTACTTTTGTCTGCATAATTAATACCCTCAGACATCTTTTTCCAACTGACTTAGCACTTCTTTTCCTGAGGAAACAGCGTGATGATACTTGTGCTAAATAGTGCTTATCAAGAATTAGCATCCAAGTGGTTCATCTCTTCAATGTGCCCTATTTTTAACAGGACAGATCAGGTTTCTCTTGGAGAATTGACATGAAGAAGAGATTCCCCTCCCCACCAAAGGCAACATCTCTTGTGTGTGGCTGAGAAAGTGAAATGAAAAATAACAACTCCACAAAAATAAATCAAGGTACAGCGGCTGCATTCTGCTCTAACTGTAACCATAGCAAGCAATCTCATCCTGCTTGCTAATTATCAGTTAATTAAACTCAACACTGTGACAGAGATGTTACTCTAAATTAGAGAAGGTTGAAGGGAGGTGAAGTTCAGCCTCTCTTTGGGTAGAAACCTGAAATACTGCATGTCAGTTTTCTGCCATAAATATCAGGGATGATAACAATCTCTGTGCTGAGGAAAGCAGCTGCCACCAGGTAAATTCATGAACATTTTGTGCAGATTGGACTCTTAATGGGGACTGAGAAAGCCCACAGATAAAAAGACAACAAAGAGAAACATGGATTGATGCCTCTGACAAATCCAGTCTTGCTCAGGTTTTCTTACAAAACCCACAACAAAATGTCAACTTGCATTATGGACAAAATGGGCCATTTTCCTCCTCCTTGTTAATGGAGATCATAAATGTTTATTCAGTGGAAAATTCAGATTATTTGATGACTGCTCTACAGCTCTTCTATCAAGTACTGCTTAGAAACCTGGAGTATCCATCCAGGAGCCATGGCTAAAATTGGGACACCCACTTTTCCAGGAATAGTGTGAGGACATGAGCAAATTCAGAGCTGCTTCTTGGGTATTCATCCTTTAAATAAAAACCTAAATAAAACAGAGTGGGCTGACAGAGAACAACCAACATTTCTTGTAAAGAGAAGAACTTCAGGCAGGATTTTAAGGAATTCAGAGAGAGGATGACAAAGCTGAAACTTTTTCCATGAGATTGTGCAGTTGCAAGCCATATGCAGTTGTGGATTTACAGTTTCTTGTGGTACCAGCAGATAAATTTAATCATGGGGATGACTAAATAAATGTTTCTGTCCCTAGGACAAAGATGAATGATTCGAGCATGAGTCCACTCAGTTCCTTCACGAGTGAGTCACAGCTCCCTTCTTCCTGAATTCCCAAATGTGGATAATAAAACAGTTTACTAATCACAGCAACCATTGCTTGCCAATCTTTTAGTACTGCAGCCAGCTGAGATGAGCAGAAATCTCTCACCTTCGTGCCAAAAGCTGCTTTTAGGAGACACTGCGAGACTCCAGTGGCCTCACCTGGCATGGGGTCCAGAGAAATGAAGGAAAAGTGGGACTGTTGTTAGCTCCAATGCATCATAAAGTTTCTTTCTTCTCACAATAAAGCATTCTGAAATTGTTGCAAAATTCTCACTGCCTCCTGAAGAAGTTTCTGGTGCAGGTTTTCTGATTTGCCCAGTTTCCAGATGCCTCAGTGAGGGACAGAGGATCTTGCACTCCCAACCAAGGAACTTTCTCCCCATGCCCCCTGCACCCCTCAATCACAGTTTAAAATATTTATCTATTACTGAAAATACTCTTTCTTCCCATTTCTGGATCTGTACTCTTCGCATGCAAACCCCAAAGCTGCCTCCAAAACTCAGCTTTCACTGAAGATCTTTTAGGAGATTTTATTAAAACTCACTGAACTCTTCCTTTCTGGAGCTGCTTGTGACTCACAGGTACAACTGACTGAAACAAATCCTGCTGCCCAGGCAGTGTTCAGTCTCTGTGGTTTTCATCACTAAAAGGGCTTTCAGAGACGAGACTTTTCTCTATTCCATAACTACTCCCTGCCCAGGGAAGTGTTCTTTTCATATCCCTCCCAAGCCCAGTGCCTGAACCCTGAAAAATGGCAGCAGCATGAACACCTGCTCTGTACAGGTGATGCACAAGGAACAGCTGAAGAGTATCCTTGTCCAGGACAAGAAGAAAAATGAGCCAATGTTGCACGAGACTTGATTCCTCTGTATTTATTGAGATATTCTCTCCTACTAACAAAAAATGTGCCATCATCCCTAACACTGCTTCCTAAGTTCTACTGTCTGCAATAGATTCTCCAGGTTCAAGTTCACCTGGAAATCTCTTAGAAACAATTCTATTTTAGTTTTAAGGGAGATTATCTTTACAAAAAATACCATCTTAAAATATAGGCACAGTTGAGCAGGACAGCTGCTTAATGAAACAGAAATCTTACCACAAGATGGATCAAATAATCTGGAAAGGTTTCAGGCTGTTACATTTCCAATTCTTATTTTATATAGATATATAGGATATAGTTAATATTTTTGGATGCATGCAGATGGCCATTACTGAAAAATTAATGTTTTTTTTAAACACCTTGCATTGCTTGTTTCTTCATGGTAAAGTAAATTTAATGACTGAAGTGGGAAGGAAGCTTTTAGTTGTCACCAGGGCTGGCATTGCTAAAGGCACAGCTTTTCCTGTAATGACTGCAGCAACCCTGCAGATTCTGGGAATGTCAGAAAGAAGATATTAGTGAAGTAAACCATGAGATTCGTGTTTTTTGAGATGTTTAAAATGTCTCCCACATGGAAACCATTATTTGGGATTTCTTTATAGGCATTTGGTACTAAAAGCTGGTCAAACAGGCAAAATATTCATTTATGTTCCCTTTTAAAATCAGCTGCAGATACTGTGAAATGAATGCTAACAAAGACAGACACTACCACTGACCTAGAAAATCAAAATAAAATTATCAGAGTGTGCATGGTGGGGTCTTTTAAGGAAGCAACTTTGATGAGAACCTTGAAATGTGCCAAAACTTTGCAGTTTGTGTCCCCAGCCTGTCTGGGTGCAGGCTCCTGCCCCAGCTGCATGACAGGACATTAATATGCAGTGCCAGGAGATGGCTCATTTATAAAAAATATTCCTAAAAATCTGGGAAATGCCCAGTGGGGAGCAGGGAGCTCCTGGGGAGATCATTGCTGCAGAGCCTGCTGTGTGCTCCCAACCTCTGCCGGCATCGCTCACAGCTCTCTTCTGCTTTAAATAACAGAAGCACCACTAAAGAATAAAACCAGATTTTCTGACCCTTGCAGCTTAGGAAAATACAGTTAAAACCCCTTGAAATTTCTGGGCTGTGCCTCTATGTGTTTTCATGACAGAGCCACCACCATCCTGTCTCTACATGAGTGTCAGGAGGGCAGATCCTCCCTGTCAGCTGCTGTCACATCCAACTTCCAGTGCCTGACAGGTCACAGTTTAAAGTCCCAATATCGTGGCAGCATTTTATATATCAGTGCACCAGATGGGGTTATTTTTCTTCCAAAGGTTATTGTTCTTTCACTATAAAAATAATTCAAAAAATGAAGTTAAAAAAAATCAGAACTGTGATTCAACCACCTACGAGCTCACTCAGAAGAGCCCTAAATTATAAGATGGGTCAAGGAGTAAATGTAAGAGTGAAAAAACTTTTAGCACACATCAGGAGGAAGAAAATTCAGTGTAAAAATCAGAGATTAAGAATAGCAAAAAGCAATTTACTATGCTTAAGAGCAAACCCCCCACGTCAATCCAACCTGTGAAAGGGTCACGAACTCAGAGATTTCAGAAATATGCAAGGGTGTTTCTATAAAAAGAAAACTGCCACATTTCTGTACTGCAAGTGCCATAAATTATTAATATTCAACTCAACTTTCAAGCAAGTAACTCAACCATTGAAAACAAACCACTGATGTTTAAGAATTACAGCACAAATGAGCATTGAATGGGGCAGGTTGAGCAGCCCTGGAGAAGATGGTGAGGTTATGGCAGAGGACATCAATCCAAAATTCCAGCTCCTCTGGGAAGAACTGTTGCAGTCTCAACAGCTCCACCAGAAAAACCCGGGTGTCCACACGGATGCACCTGGGTTGAAGATCTGACTTCACTAATTGGAATTAAATGTGTTTATACACAGGACTGAATTACTCCCATCATTAATTCCATTCAGAACCTGCCAAGTTGGAGATTGTGGATAATCTGAGCGAGTCAGTGGGCAGCTCCTTCCTACAATTCACTGGGAATTAAAAACCAGCCCAATTTCCAGCATGTTCTCAGGAAAACACTCAGTGTGTGTGCACTGTGGGGCTTCTTGGAAACAAAAGGCACCACAAAACTCCCAAAGAAGCAGGCAGAAAAGAGAAATTGGGATGTGCCAGATAAACCACAGATCAATAGTAGATTAGATGAGACCCAAACACACAAACCACATCCCCCAGAGGAGCACAGCCTGCAGCTGTGCCCTGCCAGCCGTGCCCTGGTGGGGCTGGCACCGTTGGGATGCCCATGGATCTGCACCAGCACCAGGGGCAGGTCCCCTTCAGCAGCACGAGTGTTCTGCATGCAGTCAGGGCTGGCTGGGAAGGAATCAGCAGGAGCTAATTAACAACCCAAACAGGATGCAGAGCAGGGATATTGAGGAATTCAGCTGGAGGAGTTCAACACCTACAGAGCAATTCCTTTGAAAAATATTCAGGCAAAGGCTCAAACCAAACAGTCAATCATTGGTTATTTTTCCTGCTGTTCCTAAACCTCCTGGACAATTAATTCACCTCCCTTCCCAAAGCTAAAAGCAGTGATGTTGTGCTTTGGAGCTCTGAGAACTGCAAATTCTTACAAAGCTTTTGTCAGCAAGTCTTTTAGAAGCAATACCATTCTAGGAGAATATTTTTGCATTTTGTAATATGTCCATGAACTGGCAATTGCTAATTTCCTTTTCAGTTAAACAAACACAAAAGGCACCTGAAATGTCATTTTGGCTCAGTCCATATGGAATTTTTAATGTAAAAAACAAAAAAGCAGCTTGCTTTCAGGACAATTTTCATTTTTATTTAAAGCAAGCTTGGAAGTGCTGACAAGCCTCACCCACAACAGCACTGTAATTGTTTTATACATAACAAAGTTATAGTAAATATTCTCCTTGTTGTCCAGAAACCTACTTAATTAGGGGATGGAAATGTTTTATTTATAAACACAATAGAAATGCCATTTGCCAAGTACACTCACACCTAAAAGAGCCTGTGGAGAAAACCTGTAAAATATCTGTTACAATTTTATCATGTTCACCTCCCAGACAAGACTTTTCAACTAAAACTGTGAACTAAAAGAATCCTTGTTTGTATAATCACTTTACAATGCCTTGGTTCTACAATGACTTGTGATAAATGCTCCTGTCCATAAAAGGATTAAAACCCAACTGAATCATCAGGAAATAAGCACATGTTATTTCTCAAATTATGTGCATTATTGCAGAAAGTTTAAGCCATATTTAAGAGCCTTGCTGCAAAGCGGCCCAGAATAAAGCAAATATTAAATTTTGTCACTCGGATGATTTTTAAATTAATTCCCTCTCATGGTACAATTACTTTTAGAAGCTGCATCACCATCTCTGAAACGCCTCATTACTAAGTGAAACCACCTTCTGCTAATGACAGTACCTTGGACAAATTTCCCCCTCCCACGTTGACAGGAAGCTCTTTGAAAAGTTAAGCCACAATTAAGCATCACTTGGGATCTATTCTGATCCTTTCTAGCTAAATTTTATCAAACTTCTCCTTTTCAATGCATTTTACAGGCTTTGACAGGAGAACATGGAGGTATTTGGATTTAGAGAGAACAAAGCCATGGTGGAATAATGTCAGCAGGGAAGTTTGCTGGGTCTGGAAGCTGTGAAAATTCAGTGATGGTCTGATTTTCTCTATGCAAAGGAGATGTTCTAAGAAACCTCCAACTTTGTCCTGCTGACTTTGCCCCCGAATTCAATTCCATTTCACAACACCAAAGAGGCAGCAATAAAAGCACAGTGCCCTGCTCTGGTTCCATGGAGTGTGTTCTGGAATTCCAGGCTTGGGATGGGTCTGTGGGGGTGTGGGTGTGCACAGCCACAGGTTATTCAAAATCCCAGAGAAATGCTTCCAAAGAAAGGAACTGCCACCCTCTCCTTCCTTCCTTCCTTTCTCTGCCTCCTCCCCATCTTGGTAACCTTAAACTTATAGAATGTGAGAACTATCTCTTTTTATTTTAAAACTCACTGGGAGTAGTATTTGGGATTGAATCCCAGTTGCCTTTGTTTATTCAATACTCTCAAATACAGGAAACAACTCCTCAGCTGATGGAGGTTTAGTGTATCTCTCATGCTCTGAAGATGATGGGTAACTTCCTGAGCAGCAACTCATCCTGCTGGGCTGCTTCTGACAAGGAAAACTGACAATACAGTGATTTTCTAACCAATATTTCTAAGTTTTTAAAGCTGCTACTATGGATTTCCTTTTTTCTACTTATTTTTATGAACATAACTTCATAGATTTTCTCAATCCAAAGTCATGCTGTATGAAAGTCTCCCACTTCTGGAAGAAAATTCTCCATCAGCAGCTTTAATGCACAAAGATCTGACCAAGGTACACAAACTCACAGTGTGTATCCCACATTAGTAAAACCTGAAACACTCCAAAATGAGCTGTTTTACCTGTAACTTCCAGTTTGTCACCAGTGACTTCAGCCTTCAGATAAATCCTTCCTCTCTTCTCTGTGTGGTCCATGCCACAGAGGCTTGGGACATTTATCACACACTGCTTGTGAACGTTCATGTCACAGGCTGTGGGCATAAAAATGGTTCAGACACCCATGAGAAGATAAAAATTTAGTGAAAATATATTAGAAGTGACAATTGCTTAATTATTGGCAAGACTTTCAGATTACAGCTGCCTGGTTTTCAGCCAAATGCCACAACTGCTTCCCATCTTGCAATACGTTCTGTAGAGGGTTAATACAACAGAAAAATAAAATCATCTACTTCAGAAAGCTAAACATATAATTAATGGAGTGCAAGGGGGGGAAAGTGAAAATGGAATAAAGACTTGCTGGGAATATGACTAAAAACCTGAGCATTCACATCAGCAATGAAGGAAGGCAGGTTTAATTGATTATTAGGTTTTGATAGTGGGAGTTTTCCAAATTAAACACAAGGAAAACACCAGACCCTGACTAGAAACTGAACTGAAACTCCAGTCTTTGAGAGTGAATTCACCCAGACAGGCTTTCTCAGAACTGCCATGACAAAGGCTCTTCAGCCACATCAAACTGAGTACACCATGTTCTCAGCAGAAGAGGTGATTTTAATTACTAAGTTATTATAGTACTGAAACATCCACTTGAAATATACCAGGACTATAAATAGCTGACATTTGAAATTGTGTTTTCCAGAGAAATGAAGTAAGAAGCTGTTATCCAGGGCTTCCACTCCCTTTCCAGAGTACCCCTTTGGCAGCAGAAGGAAACTTCACTCACTGTCACATTTCATCCCCTGGTGCAGGAGCCCGTAGAGCAGGGACCCACAATGGTCACAGAAGGTGGGGCTCCCATAGGTGTGGATCTTGAACTTGTGCTTGCTTCTGGGATCCTGCAGGGAAAACAAACACAGATTCTAAGTCCTGAAAGATAAATTGACATACCTTTAATTTATTACTTCAAATGCCAAAAGCTTTCCAGCTTTGCAAATTATGCTGCAGGAAAATACATTTCAGTGTGTAGCTTGTTCACAGTGGTACCTGCATTGGCACAGGCACGTTGTCCTCAATTCCTAATTCTCTTTTTTATGGTGCTGTAAGAAAAAAATGTGTCAGCTCAGGCTTGTTGCCATGATTTATGGACACTAAAATTCATTTACTGACTGTTCACATACATAAAGTTTAATGGCAGTGTTCAGTCTGTGGCTGAAGACTCACAGACTAATTACAGAGTGTTATTGTCACTGTTCTGAAATGACACAAAATACAGCAGGAGAACTGGGAAGAAACTGTTCATCGACTAATCTGGAACACAGTCCAATGACTGTAAAATCAGGATGTTACAGATGGGATCATCTTGAAATGCTGCAACTTTATAATCTCTATTGTTGTGAATGAAAGGGAATGAATTCTAACTTGGCACATGGCAAATATTTTACAGAGATTGTTGTTCCCATCTGATTTTTGAGCAGAGAAACCTAAAAGAGTGAGGACATTTTAAGGCCGCCAACAGCTTGGAAATGTTTCCTAATTTAGGCCCAGTGAAAGGGAATACACCCAAATCACTTAAACACTTGACACATCCAAAGGCATCTGCTGTTTATGTAGGAGTAAGGGTCCCCTCTGGAAAACCAGAAACATTTATTTCAGAGGAAGAAACCACATTTTCCATATGTTCACCAACGCCAGGCTCATCCCAGAGCTCCAGATGTGCAATGCCAAAGCAAATGTGCTGATGGCCCTGTCCTGTGCATACCCTCCTTATCCTCAAATCCTTCATGACCCCTCCCTGCTCCAGCTGCATTTCAGTCAGAACTATCCCTGCTCAGCCCAGGTCAGAAACTGGGGGGAGCAGTGACTCTTCATTAAAATCCACACTGGGGTTTGAAATCCATCCTTGCTAACACTCTTTTCAGAAAGACCTTGGAAATCATGAAATGCCAGGTCTGAAACACCCTCAATGAAAACTCAGCTGCAAAATGAGACATTAAAATGTTTCCCTTCCATCCACATTTTGCATTATACCTTTGTATTGGGTAAGAACTGTTAAATTGTCTTAGAAATATACTGATTTTTAAAATTTACCTGCCTATCAAAGCTTTCCAAAAAATCAAAAGGGAAGGCCAGCATGTTACTCAAAAGGGAAAACCTGCTGACTCTTTCCTCAAAATGAAAAGATCTCTCTAATATAACGGCTTTCTGAAGAAATTTGGGAGCTTTGATTAGTAATTCTCACAAAAATATGACTATGAGAAGGCAAAACTTTGCCTTCAAATTTTACTATTTTGCTGTATTACCCTTTTTGAAGATTTTTAGTGTTTTGGTAGCATTCTTCATGTGAATGCATTTGGTATTGATTCTGAGTTTTGCAGTAATCTATAACCACTACTTTTCACCGTATGGAAGGAAATCATACAGGATAACAAGCAAAGACTTTACATCACAAATTCAAATTGAAACTATTTCAATAATTCTGCTCGTTGTACAGCCTGAGACACGAAATGCAAACTGCTACCAACTGTATTTATTTTGTAAACACAGCGAACCTCAATGGAGTGACAGCCAGGGCTCCAGAGAACATCTGTTTCATTATTTATTAAAGGCACAGCCACAGGCCTGGTGGCTCAGGGTCATGGGAACGTGGCTGTGCAGAAGGGCTCTCTGGTGGCTCAGTGACTATGTGCCTTCCAAACAATTTAAACCACAGTTGGGAAGCTAATTCTTCCCTAAATTGTTTTGTTTAGATGACAGAAGGGGACTTGTTGCCTTATAAATATCTACACTTGAACATGACTCTGGTAAGACATCTGTGGCTGAGAAGGACAAAAGCCACAGCTCCTAAGAATGACCCTGAATAAACAGAGTTTTAAAGTTGTGTTTGACATCTGGCACCAGTGCTGTTTATGAGTATAAAGTAATGGTATAGAGGGGAAGGAAATTATTACAGTCAATGCCTACTAAATACATTGAACCTGCATATTATACTGAAATTATGGAACAATGACAAATAATTTCACTCCAAACAATGGAATGTGCCTGTAATTAAGTTAAGCAGGGGCGTGTGTGGCTTACAAATGTTGTGACATGTAAGGACAATGTTCTGCATTTGCTGAGAACCAGCACAAGTGAGGGCTCATGCCTGACTACAAAGCTCTGTGTGGCTACAACATCCCAGGAAAAGCATTCTTAGAAAACAACAAAAACCAGCTACATGAATAAATAAATAAATAAATCAAGTTGGATCAAACTTTGGAGTTGGCCCTGCAGGACTCAATGAGTATCATCTGAACCCCTGTTTGCTTTCTATACTGAATCTTAGTTTTCTACCCTTGTTTGAAAATTCCTCTGTGGGGCCTTTCAAATCAACAATCTTGATATAAATTAGATTTGTAAGGAGAAGCAAGATGTTCTGACTATTATTAGCTATTATTATTCTATATGCACACACAAAGTCCTTCATTACAAGAAGAGGACAATGGAAAATAGTACCAAAACTACTCCTGAACTGGAAACTTTGTAGGAAATCTCTCTTTAAAGATCCCTTTAATAGAATGTTCCTAAAAAAACATTTAAAGCCTGCCACATAAGAGAGTACACTCTTCATCAGTGTTTTATCCTATTTTCTGCTTCAATCCCATGTTTTTTGGTTGGTTTTTTTTGATAACTTGAAGTCCAGAAGATATTCTTATTTAAGAAGCAAGTCCAAGACCATCTAGAGAAAGCCAAGAGATCACTATCAACCCATCACAAATGACAAAATTTTTCATCTTATTCCCATATTTACAAGGATTTCTCATGCACTCAGAACTACCCTTGAATCTATACCTCATACTTTAATTATAAGCAATCATATTAATAATAATTACTACATCGCCAGCTGTAATTACTTGTATTAACAGCAATTATTTTATCAGTTGTTAATACAGGTTCATACTTCCCAGTGTTAAATATGCATTAATGAACTTATGTGCATCATAGAGGAAATCATCTTATCCTCAGCGGTTTTTTGGCTAAAGGCAAACTACGGAGCTAAAGGAAAGCTCCTGTAAATTTTCTTCAAACATCCCTTTTTCCATCCATGTAAACTTTCAATAATTCCCAAAGCAGAGCTGGCAGCCCCATTTTGTAGTAAACACAGGGAGCCAAGCCAGGATCTGACAGATGAACTGCCAAATAATGGCTGCTATTTGCAGGAGAATTGAACTTTGCATTAAACTTGGCACAGATTAATTGTGAAACTCCAAAGGGAAAACCTACTTCTGTTTCCAAAATCCATCAAAGTTCTGAGGGGGGAAAGTGGCATTAGGAAAGCACTGGGCAAGTACCTGTTCAGCAGTGATAGATGATGTGCTCTACTAAAATTTGTGTTATTTTCCTGCTAAAAAGTGAATTCTCCAGTCCTCCATTTCTGTAAGTACAACTGAATGCAATACAGTGTAATTAACTGGGATAAAAACTTCTGGGCAATTGACATCACAGACATTTAGGTATTTTTATTTGAAAAACCTTTGAATTGGCAAAAATTTAGCTCTGCATTTGCATGCTTTCTAATAGACTGGGGTTTCAGAGCCTGCAATGACACACATGGGTGTAGCATCCCTGTAAAGATGAACCAGGCACCTACACCCCATGAAGCTCTGCAAAAATCAGAATATTATCCATCGGTCTCAAAGCTGAGATGTGATTAAGAGAGGAGCAGCCACAGAGGGAGGGATCCACCAGGAGAGGGTTGCACACAATGGCTCCAGGTGGAACGAATGAAAAAACCAAAAGTGGAGCAGAAACAAAACAAATAATGAGTTTGCAGAAATGACTTGCTCAGAGGGGTTCAGCCAGGAATCCTGCCACACTCCAGCAGAGGGAAGCAGAAGAACACAGAGGCATCTCCCCAAACCCCACACATTTTTCCATCTATCTACTGCCTCTGAGATACATCCTGCCCCCTGCCTCCATCCCTGCCTTCCTCCTTTGTTTAGCACAAATGAGCCCATTTCCTTTATTGAACAGCAATGGAAAGCACCCCCCTGTGAGGAATCATTCCATAATTTCTGTGTCTCGGAGGCGGGGGTGTGCAATAATTGAAAGTGCATGGTTAACCAGCAGCACATGTCACACTGCGCCTTAACACAGCACAAAACAGCTCAGGAGCAATACAGCTCAGAATTCCTCCTAAAAGCTCCCTTTTGAGCAGGATTTTATTCCCCCTGATAGCAACACTGAACCTGCTATAATTCTGCAGGCATTAAATCACCACGTTGCCTTTAATTTGAAAACACACAAACCCCACTTTGTGCGATGGTGCAGCACTGGAGGTTTCACATCAGATTATTTATTACTTAGGAGCTTTTTTCATGGGATGCAACTCAACTGTGCCAACAGCTGTGTCAGGAGGACCAAGGATCCACCCTGGCCTGGGCTCTGATCCCCGGGGTGCGCAGCAGGGGAGGGGTTCTGCCTCTGCCCCACCTGCAGAGCTGCCCCAGCCCTGGGCCAGCAGAGGAGGAGCTGGAGCTGCTGGAGAGAGCCCAGAGGAGGCACCGGGATGATCCCAGGGCTGGAGCCCCTCTGGTCCAGGCTGGGGGTGCTGACCTGGAGAGGAGAAGGATCCAGGGAAACCTCAGAGCCCCTTCCAGGGCCTGAAGGAGCTCCAGAAGAGCTGGAGGGGGACTGGGGACAAGGGATGGAGGGACAGGACACAGGGAATGGCTTCCACTGCCAGAGGGCAGGGATGGATGGGATATTGGGAAGGAATTGTTCCCTGGGAGAGGGGGCAGGCCCTGGCACAGGTGCCCAGAGCAGCTGTGGCTGCCCCTGGATCCCTGGCAGTGCCCAAGGCCAGGCTGGACAGGGCTGGGAGCAGCCTGGGACTGTGGAAGTGTCCCTGCCCATGGCA